TTTTTTTTTTTTTTTTTTTTTTTTTTTTTTTTTTTTTTTTTTTTTTAGTTTTCCGATTGAGTTAAAAAAGAGGGTAAATAAAGGCAAGTAAAACTATAATTTATAAAAATAGAGCGATAAAAAAAAGGCTAAATTAATTTTGAAAAAAGTTTAATTTTAAACAAAATTAAATAATAATCTAAAACTCAAAAATATAATTACTATCTTTAAAAATCAGAACCAAACTTTAAAAATGTTTCAAAAATACTTTTAAATTTTTGTAAAATTCAATTTTTAAAAATTTTGTTAATATCTTTAAATATTTTTTCTATCAACAATTTCTTTTTTTTTTTTTTCTATAGCATTGTTTATGCATAAATATAAGTAACTTCATCAATTAAATAACTAATTTCTTAAAATATAACCAAATCGAAAACAAATCGTTAATTTAAATATTAAATTTTCTTATAAATATGTTTGAAAATGTTCATGAACGAGAGAAATTTTTGTTTTTATTTAAAGTTTAATATAATACACAATCCCAAAAAAAAAAAACAACCATCAATCAAATAACATTACCAAAAAGAAGTTGTTTGTAAAATCATCCAATAGTCTGCAAAACTGAGAGAATAATCAATTCATATGGAAATTAGGACGGTTCGTTGGTAGATGGACACGTTTGGAGAGAAAATCAATGTAAAAAACAAATTAGTCTATTTTCATTTAATGAAAATGTGATGGTTATGAGAGCAGTTTGTCATTGATCGATCGACCATTTTGTTGATCTGATTGGGTTGGTTTTTAATACTTTTTCTAAAATAAAAATATATATTACTGAGAGGGAAGAGGGCAGAATGAAATTATGATAAACTTTTAGCAAATTTAAGTGTTTATATGAACTTCACAGTACGTTATGATCGCAAGGGACCAACTTCCCTCCTTTTCTACACAAAGCCTGCTCGCCAACTGAATTAACTAACTTCCCGTAACTATACCGTAACGGCATCCTCCCCAGCCGTCTATGAAACTCCGTAATACACCGTCCCCTTCTCTTCCTATGCTCCCCTTTCCTATTACTCAGCCCCACCTCACTAAACCTCTCCCCCAATCCCAGCCGTTCATTCTCATCGTAATCATTGCGTGGGTCCCCCCAGTCTCTGATCCTCTGCGCCGCAACCAGAATAGGCCCAGCGTTCGACATGTCGGCCACCATGAAATTCATCAAGATATCCTCGCAATTGCGCTCCCGATCGACAACTCTTCTCATGTCGGCCATTGCCGCTCCGCCACCGCAAGTATACTCGAACAAATACTCCATCTTCAGAATCATCAGCTTCGTGAGCACGATCGAGTATTTGTCTTGATGAACGGTGTAGATCCATTCTCGCCTCGAGAGGTCTAGATCGTGGGACCGGACGAAGAAGCCGACAAGTCGTTCGGGGTTTCTCCCCCAAACTCTGAACGCGAACTCCAGGGACGATATATCGATCTCGACGTCGTCGTCGCAGATCAAAACGGCGCCGGTTTGGATGGACTTATGGGGTAGGAAACGAGAATTGAGGCTGTTTGAAGATTGGCGGATTACGGAAATGGGTCCAGTGGTGAGGTTTTGAGCCAATTGCGTTAGGGTTTTAGACGAGGTTGAGGGATTTCCCCAAAGGATCAGTACGGCGTGTACGATTGGGGATGCGGCATACGTGGCGGCTATTGATTGGAGTAGAGGGATGCGGGATTCGTAATAGCCGTTGATGAGGACCGTGATTTGATCCGATCGTAGATTCCGTCGGTCCGGCAGGGATTCGGCGTCGCACGCGGCGGCGGTTGCTTTCAGCAGAGAGCACACGGCGGTGGAGAAAGAGAGGAGGATGAAGATCGTTAGTGACTTGAAGTTCATCTCCACTTGCTTCTGCTTCAGATCTGAGCGAGATGCAGAAACAATATCATATTCGCACCTAGATTTTTTTTAAAAAAAAAATATTTATTTGATCTCCTTTTTCATTAAACGACGTCGTGACAAGCTGATGCGTAATCTTTACTCCTTGGCTCATAAAGAAAATGGGAAGAACGTGAATAAGAACGGAGGCTGAGTTTTCCTAAAAAAAAAAATTAAATAAAATATCTAGAAATATGAAATTATTATAAAATAATTATACTTCAATTATCCATTTCAATAATTTTTTAAATATTTTACACTAAAAATTTTCTTTCCCAAAAGTTATTCTCAAAGTTGGCTCACATGACACGTGACAATCAATCAATGAGAGTAATATTTACTGCAATAATATGTTCTGTAAATGATTATTAAAAAAAACTAAATAACCATAATAAAAATATACCTCAAAATATATATATACACATATAACTTTTAAGGGAGTTATTTGTTGAGCATCTAATATTTTAAGTACATTTAAATATTTTAATAATTATACATAATAAAAATATAACACATTTTAACTTCATACTTTCCCTAAAAAAAATTAATTATTAAGTTAAATTCGGTGGAAATACAGAATAATTAAAACTAAAATGTATTCTAAACATACAAAAAAAAAAATCAATTATTAATAATAATTAAAACACAAACAAATAATAAAGATGAAATTTTGAGGTACTTAAATTGAATATAGTGCTCGAGTGATTTGGAAAGAGATCGAGCGAGAAATATCACAATTTAATTATATTTTAAAAAAAACAAAAATTATTCATATATTTCATATTTCTTCATACATTTGATCTGCCTCATCCAAAAAAAAACCAACAAAGGAGGAATCAAAGGAGAGAAAAAGAAAAAGATTTCTAATTTTTCCCTTTTTGTCCTACAACTCTATTTATCTGCACATTGGACTCTGCGGACGGTGCGACGTCGTAATGTGCAGCGTTTCCAAGGAACAGAAACTCAACACCTCCTCTCCGACTAACAAATCCCCGTTCTTCTTCTCCTCCACCAATTTCACCACATTTTCAAACACCGTTACTTCACACGGCAGCCTCAAAACCCCCGTTTGTTGAAACCCGAACTCCTCCTCCGCCTCTCTCAACAGAATCTCGAACGCCGGATGCCCTAAATACTGCGTCGGTATAACAAATCGCTTTTGCTCCTCTCCTACGCTCACCGCCAAATAGCCTTTCGGCACGGCGCCGCCGGAGATTTCTCCGCCGGCCGAAAGCGTTCGTTTCAGAAACTTTATGCTCTTGCCTCCCGATCCCGCCGCCGTGCCGGAGACTTTGTTCGCCGTTTTCGATGAGTCCGCTAACTTCCGCCATTTCTTCAGGATCTGGTGAAGCCTTACGATGTCTCTGATTTTGTTCGACTTCTTCGAATTTGGATCCATTCCGCAATTAATCTCTTCCGAGGAAAGTAATGAATGAAGATGGAGAGGGGTCGTTTCTGTTCTCGATGCTCTGAATTTATAGGCAGTTCGGAAACTCGGATTTGAAAAAAAACGTAAAATTTTCATTAATTTTATCCGTATTTTCTGCTGAGATTCCCTAAATCGTCTACAAATAATAATATTTAAATTTTTGTGTAATTACCATTATACCCCTTTCCATCTTTATTTTAATTTTATTTTTAAAAATTAATCTCTCGCTCTTAAAAAATTAAATTTTAAATAGCACTGTTATAAAAAATGTGAGTGACTATCAACATTATACTTATTATTTCTATTGATATCCAATCCATAATTAATATATATTAATTTTTGCTGTGTCATTTCTTTAAAAATAATTATTGCTGTCATATTTACTATTTTATTTATTTTACTTTCTTAAACAGTCATAAATATAACTCGATTTGTTACTATATTAATGATATAAAGTTGGAAATCAGAATATATACTTGAATTAAATATTTATTTAATTATATTCCAGAGTTAAAAGAGTTTGATAATTAAAATAAAATATATAATAAAGCGTTATTATTAAAGTGGGGTGCGCAACCCAAGGCATAAAAAAAATGGATTAAAAGTGTGAAGCTTTTTACAGGTATGGCATTTAATCTCTCGGCTCCTATTTTCGGTAGAAGATAACCCATGTGGGGTTAGCAAATTTAAGCCATTAATATAAATATCAATAATGACCCCAAAGTCTAACCTCCATTTTATAATCGCCGTACACCTGTTACGTTTTATTTTTTTAATCTCGAATAATGAATTATTATAATTTATATTTTCTCTAAATCGATTTAAATGTTATACAAACCAAATAAAATAAAATAAAATAATTATTCGTTCATACCATTTTAACCCTCAATTTTAATTAAAAATTAATAATAATAATAAGAATAGGGAAACATTCTGAATATATGAATAATATATTAATTTTTATTTAAATCTGACTTGAATATTAAATAGGGAGTAAAAGGTAATTTTAATCGAAGCAAGCGACGGTTTAGGTGGAGATCCATTTCGGTTGTATTTATAAATTTAAAATAATAATAATAATAATAAAAATAAAAAGATATATATGGTTGGTGAAAGAAGCGATGAGAGATTGATTTGATTCCCCGATGCAAAGAGTCAAAGGCAAAGGAAGTCTCGTACCGTTCGATTGTACTATCATTATTCAAATATTTTAACTGCCCTAACTGCCCTTTTGCTTTGATTTCGATGGAATCCCATGTGATTTTTTTTTTCTTTTTCTTTTTTTACAATTTCCAGTGTCCATCTTTTTTACAATTTCCGAGTATTTTATTTCATTTTTTAATTATTAAATGGTTTCTCATCATTTGATGCCATATGCCATTTTTTAAATAAAATAATTAAATGCTAAATTAATTTAAAAAATCACATTAAATTTTATATATATTTTTTTAAATATCCATAATTTTTAGGGATAAATGGTTAATAATATGTTCCAAAAATATCTTTTTAACTTAAAACTTCAAAAATACATTTACACTTATATTAAAAAAATAATCATAAATTTTATAAAGTAACATTAAAACGTTTATAGATAAATTATAAGATGCCGATAAATAATTTTCTTTCATAGATTGACAGTAAAAAAATTAAATTTTTTAAGGTTATTTTTATATATATTAAAGGTTAGATTTAGATAATTATATATATATAAATTAAAGGTTGGGAGTGTTATTGAAATTTATAAAATTCTAAAATAGGTCTAAGAGAATTCAAGATGTTAAAATATTTTTATTAAATTAGCCACAGTTAAAATTGAAAGTATTGAGGATGGTTACCCCAATTTAAACGGTAAAAAGAGGGCAAATGTTTGACTTTGACCTAAATAAATGGAGGGCTTAGATGAGAACGGCAACGTGATCCGCACGACAGCACCTCACTGAAAGAAATAAAGAGAGATTCCGTTCGATCCCAATTAATTTATACCCTAAACAGCCAAAATCATTATACCACTCATTAACCATCATCAATCCACATTCTTTTTGTTATTAAGCAACCAAATAATATATATATATATATATTTTAAATGTAAATTCAAGAGAGGGACTTGTGGTACTATAATCTATTATTGGTGACGACTTGATTGATAAAAAATAATTAAAAAACATTTTAAATTAAATTAAAATAATATAAGTCAATAAAATACTTTAAAATATTACAATTTGTTATGATTGATTAGTTCTAGAAAATTTAAAATGGGGAAAAAAAAAAAAGTCCTCACGTGCTTCTTGTTCAGACGGACTGATGAGATGGGAGTACCGAACACGTGCTTCGTTCTGGCTCCCCCGCGGTAACGCAAACTCTCATACTCTTCACCCTTTTGCTTAATTAAGAAGCTAATTTATTCAAAATAAAATCATTTAAATTTAATCTCTCAACTTTCTAATTCTTTAATAAATAAATAAATAATATATATATATATATATATATATATATCTATATATATATATATATTTATCTTTATAGAAATTGCTCCATGATTGATATTAGGTATAACATAATAATTGATTATGGTCTACCAATTTTGTTTTGACTTTTTTAGTGTAATTTTTTCTTAAATCTTTATTAATTAATTATCGATTAATCTTAGGATTTCTTCTTCTATTGCATTATTTTATTGACTAAAGTATTTAAGTAATAGCTAGCCTGTTATCACATCAATAATTATAAAATAAAATAGCAAATAAAGTATATTAATTACGAATATTAGTTTCTTGCTTTATTGGGGTGATTTAATAATATAGTCTTTAAAGTTTCCTATTTTAACAAATAAAATATATGAAATTTAACTAATATTGCAATATATATTTCTTTAAAAATTTGTTCATGAATAATATGTTGACAATTAACAAACCTACCAATGATGAGTAGTTATGAAACAAATTGTGAACTATATAATTATTAATTGTCATAATATTAAAATATATAAATTATTCTTAATTCTTCGACCAACCAATGATTTAAGGTCGATTATACCAATTAATTTTATTTTATGCTCGAGTTATGCTACCTACCAACAAATTTGTAAGGTCGATATATCAGAATTAAAATATTTAAATAGTAATCTATAACAATTAATTAGTAGGGTTCTACCAAAATCATATATATATTATTATAAATGAGCCAATCAATGATTTATATTGAATTAATCTAAATACGGTGGTTACAATTTGTTTTTGGGTCAAAGTTGTTAACTAAAGAAACAGCTATTAATAATTGGATTATAAAAATACAAAAAAAAAAAAAAAAAAAAAAAAAAAATCAATCGATATCCTAAAGCAACCAATTAATTAAATAAATTATTTTGCATAGTTAAATAATTAATGAACTAATATATTCAATATCCAAATATTTCTTTAAAAAAAATAAATTCCATAAAATTCAAAATTTTGTGATTGAATTTATTATTTCATATTTTCACTTTTTTCTCAATAATTTGATGTTGAAATTAAAAATAAATAAATAAACCTAATATTTCTAATATATTTCCTTCTTTTATTTATTAAAAAAAAAATTGATATTTTTG